GACATCCACCCGGGGAAACCCAAGGGCGAACAGGCGCCGGGCCCGTTGCCGAAGGAGGAAGGTTCCAGAGCTCAGCAAACCCCGCAATTAGATGAGTAATCCTCATGTGAGCGCTGAAGTCACTGGCCCTCGGTCGCTTGATGCGCGCCGCAGGGCTTCTGGAGAGAGCCACCAGCGCAGTGAGGCCCATCCCACGCAGATGCAGAACGTCTGCCTAGATTAACCCCCCTCTGCAGCACATGGGCCTTGGAGTGTCCGTAATATTCCTCCGTTACGGGGTTTAAAACCTGCAGCTGTGAAGATGATTGATTTTTGGGGAGGAAGTACGAAAACACACAGCTTCAGCGGCAGCTCGGAGCGGGGCTGGTGGCAGATCGTCGCTAGGACGCAGAGCACACGAGCGACGCTGCACAGGCAGCGGGGGAATAACTTGAAATGCATCGTGTTTTGGGGGAAAGCATCTTCTGTTCACAGGAGCCTAGTGGGAAGCTCCAATAAAATCCAAAAACGAAACTGAAAAGCTGTTGCTGAATGTTCTGAGACTGTCCCTGTGGACCAGCAGAGCTTAGGTCTGAAACGGGGATGTCAGACAGAAAATGGAGTTGTGGAGCAGGAAAAAGTTTAAAAACAAACCAGAAAAAAACCTACAAATGAAAACAGAGAGTCAGTGCCTTGTATTTAAAAAACCCCCAACAGTTTCTGAGCACCTGCTGCAGCTGGATGTTTGCTGCTTGGGTACTTGCCGTGAGCTGGTTTTAAAATGAAGCCTTGATAAAGCGGAGCCACAGAAGCATCTGGGACTTGAGCAACACAACTATTTCTGTAGCTGGACTGATGCAACTATGTTGGTCAATCTTCCTTTCAGCTAGCTGCCTACAGGGGCTATTTGATCAGCAGAGGTGGGAGAAACGAAGAGTTCTTGTCCTCTGCTGCAGTGTGAAAAACCTTTGGTGGCCTTTGGAGCAGATGTTGCTGTTGAGTACAGCCATGGCACAGCTGCTCCTCCGGCTGCAACAGCTTCTGCATGGTGGTGAAGCTCAGCCTCGCGAGAGCCCTTGGAGATCTCAGGATCTGTGCTCTGGCGCATTGGGCAAGAAACAGAAACTGAGGCGCTGTGTGTGGAAACATTGGGTCTTTCTGGTAAAGAAATGAGGTGTCTCTGATGTCTGAAAGAAACTACTAAATTGTGGTTTTCGGGAACACAGCTTTGGAAGGAGGTAGTAGCTAGATCCCAAGATCTTTTCTGGGATCTGGGTATATGTCACACCTGGGGAAAATGGTCTGGCAGAGACAGCAGAGTCACGCCAGACACCAGAAGGATACTTCTTGCTCTGATGCATGTATTTGCTGGGAAAAATATACTGGGTGTTTGCATCCCTTGGCTGACAATCCTGTGACTGCAGTAACTCTGCTTTGTGTGCAGTAACCGTTGACAGTAAGAACCTCGACTCGGTCACTAACTCTAAAACAAGTTCGGAGTGTGGCCTTCTGATGGTGAACATTTTTCAGTGCAGAAAGCTTTGCATGACAGATGTTGGTTTGCATTCTCCACCCTGGATGTATGTTTTCAAGCCTTAAAGAAGAAATGGAGGTGAAGCAGCTGGGAAAGCAGCCACTGTGCCTAGAAGGGCCTCTCCCAGCCGTGGCATCTTGCACGTTGCCATTCGACATGAGAAGGGTGAGGTACCTTTTGATAGCTTTTAGGCTTTCCCTGGCTCGGTGTTGAAATTCCAGCCAAGCTCTTCGCTCTCAGATAAAAGGCTGTTCCTACTGATATGTCTGGTATTTGAATGAAATCTGCTACAGGAAAAATAAAGATCTTGGCAGGGGCTAAATCTGCTAAATATCCTTCACTGGTATTCACGATAACCAGGAGCTCACTGAGGAACTAGAACCTTCCAGGGCAAAAACAGGCACAAGGGAACAGGCAAAAGATGAATGTCTCCAAAAGAATCATAGAATCATAGAATGGTCAGGGTTGGAAGGGACCTTAAAGATTATCTGGTTCCAACCCCCCTGCCATCAGCAGGGACATCTTCCACCAGCCCAGGGTGCTCAGAGCTCCATCCAACCTGGCCTTGAGCACTGCCAGGGAGGGGGCAGCCACAGCTTCTCTGGGCAACCTGGGCCAGGGCCTCAGCACCCTCATGGGGAAGAATTTCTTCCTAATATCTCATCTAAATCTGCCCTCTTTTAGTTTAGAGCCCTTCCCCCTTGCCCTGTCACTGCACCCCCTTGTGAAAAGCCCCTCTCCATCCTTCCTGTGGGCCCCTCCAGGCACTGGCAGCTGCTCTAAGGTCACCCCGGAGCCTTCTCTTCTCCAGGCTGAACAGCCCCAACTCCCTCAGCCTGTCCTTGCAGGAGAGGTGCTCCAGCCCTCGGATCATCTTCATGGCCCTCCTCTGGACCCACTCCAGCACATCATTTCTCATAGCAAGGAGACCATCTTTTGCATGTGAAAGGAATGGGGAGAGATGGCACATCCACGTTCTCATTGCTTTTATCGATTACCCTCACCAAGTGGTATCGTGATCATCGAGGCAGAGGAGGAGGAAGGGGCTGCAGCCCAACCTTTAGGGGCTTTAACAGCGAGAACTGCCAAGCACTGAACTGCCAGTCCCGGCTGCTCCAGGATCTCCAGGCAATAAATGCTGCCATCTGGTGCCACCAGTCCGGCTGCACACATCGTTCCTGCCCGTCCGGCATCAGTTCACAGTGCTGTATCTACACAGTACTTAAATGGAGAGAGTGGTCTTTGCTTACTCTTTGGATTATCCCACAGATTACTTGCACCTCCACCAGCTTTCAGTGCTGTTGTAGGAAAAAACACTGACTTCAGAGAGAGTCGAGTAGTCCTGCTAATAAAATATTCTACAAAGGAATGTGGATTTTATACCTTACGTACTTCTTTTGCTTTGATGAGTTATTTCTTGTTTATGTCAGGACAGAAAAGTTGTAGGTTTGTGGTTTGTTTTTTTTTCTACACAGTGGAAAAGTGAGAAGTGAAGAAATGGACTGTATCTGTCAGAAGCCAATTTGAGGTTGGAAGAACCCTGATCATAAGATCTAGATCCTGGAGACGTCATCAGTTCAAAGCCTTTTTTGATATTCATGTATCCAATGTAAAAATCTGGGGTGCAGGGAGAAGAAAAAACAATGGACAGAACATGTTTGTGACAGTTACCAGCAGACTGGCTTGTCTTGCTCCTTTATCTGGACCAGTACTGCCCCAGTGTGGGGAGGGGGCAGGGGTACACAGGGGGAATGCGTGTGCCATGTGCGTAAAAGACGTTTCAACACACTCTGTTTAGGTACAGAAATCGGGAAAGATGGATGGAGACCTCGAGAGCCATCTGCTGGCGCTTCATCAATCAGGGTGATGGAAGGACACGAGCAGCCGTGGCCGACTCCACAGCCAGTCTGAGCGTCACCAGTTTGGAGAGCTTCGCTTCTTGTTTTTCCTTTTCAGTTTTCGGTGTGGACCCTGAGCTGGATCCTGCCGTCTAACAAGCTCTCATTTGTGAGCAGCCCTTTCAGGAGCGCTTGCCAAGGTGCTTCCTCCAGGGAAGAGCTTGCAGCCCAATGCTGCGTTTCCTTGTAAATTGGATTAATGCTCCTTATCTCGTCCTTGCCCTGGCAAATATCCCATTTCCCTGAGAAGGATTAGCACATCGCACTAACCATGGTAATGGATTATCTCACTGCAGGCTTTCTCGAATTGGTCTGACACACTGCTCGCAGGAGTGGTACAGGGCGAGGGTGGCTGACCTTTCCGTTTCTTCGGGGTGCTCTCCGAACTCGATTTCAAGTCTTGGAGTCTCTTCAGCTGAGAACCACAAGACCGGCAGCACAGAGACCAAAGGGGTTAACACTGTTGGGGGGAGAGAGAAACTTTTGCCTTCCTCTTAACTCTTGGGTACAGCACTAACTGTAATTCCTCTGTTATTATCTTAAGATCATGACAGAGAGATCAGGACCAGTAACATCGCCAGAGAAGACTGGGAGCACACAGAGGCCCCAGCGGCCAGGGGAACGCCGGGTTCCTGCACAGCATGGTGTGACTAGACCAGAGGAGCAGCTCTGCTTAGTCAGGCTGTGCAGGGATAACTCTGGGAGAGACAGGCTCACTGCCCAAGCTCCTAGCACGTCAGTCAGCCGCGTGACCTGCATGACTTTCTCCCCTTTCATGCTAGAGGAGACAAGGAGGAGCTTTGAGGAGAAATGGCATAAAACATTGGTATAATAAATACATTCATGGCAGAAACAACTCGGTTCTTTTTCAGAGAATGCAGAGAGGGATCTACACTGTCCCCAGGACTGTGGTGTACACAGAGCCATGGTAACCGTAGCCATCGCTAGCCATAGCCTCCAAGTTCAGCTTCATGACTTCTCTTGCAAACCATACTGCATCAGTTCTCGTGTGACTGGCTTAAAGCTGGTTCAAGTAACTCAGCTACTGATCCCCATTACTGGAGCACACAAACATAGCATGAGCTTGGATTCATCCTCAGCCCAGGAAGCGCTTTCATCCTCATTCTGCTGGGGGAAGCGGAGATGGAGCGAGGCTAAGTGACTTCCCCAGGAGAGGCTGGAAATCAGTAGCAGAGCAGCAAACTAGACCTACATCTCTTCATTGTCTTGCTGCTTCAGATTGAAGGCTTACAGTTGGAGAGTGAAAAAAGGCTGTATCGTATTCCTGTGGGCACACAGCACATGCCAAGCAAGCCTTAGCTGACGTTTCAAAGACCTATTGTTTTTAAAGTGGGTTCCTTCCGTCTGGGAAAATGTTCTATTATCTTGGGGGGAGGGAGGCAGAAGCTTGCATCAGAAATCGCTTGATTCTGCAGCCAGTTTGTTAGATGTCGGTCCAGACATTGTTTGGCTGTCAGTGCAGAGCAGGAATAGTGGATCTGACCGACTGCATGATGCGTTTACTTTGCCACCTGCTTTCAGAGACAAGCACATGAGCAAACAGCTGTTTTGAATGCTTTTATGTGTGCATTTATCTTGCAAGGGAACTGCGTCACAGATGATGCTCAGAGAGGGAGCGCTCCCCAGAATGCTTCTACGTTAAAAGCATGGGAACCGAGGACTCTTTTCAATGGGGGTATTTACATGCTACTACAAAACAAACACTGGTAGTGTTTCACATGCATTCCCAGAAAATAAGTCAACAGTGGCTGCACACTATCTCATTGCTCATTAATTTGGTTTGCGTCAGATCCTAAAGTCAAGAATTGCATTTGCAGATGCTTGGGCAGTTCACAAACTGCCCCAGAGGCTGCATAAAGTTAACGATGCAAACCAAAGACAGTTCACATCCAAACTGCAGGAGGCAGAGACCTGCTGGTCTCCCATTTCCTTCCCTCTCTCTGGAGGCCCGAGCCTCGCAGGGTCTTTTTTGCCGTGCTTCGGATGCTGTTTTCTGTCTCCCAGTTCTTGTAAGGCAGCCTAGCACCCTGACCTGCATCTGCTTCCCACTGTGCTCATCCCTGTCCTCACTCAGAGCTGAGGAGAGGGAGGGTCCTTGAAGTCCTTCAGACTTGTGCACAGACATCTAAGCAAGGAGTTTCCAATAAATATTGACAGGAAAGAGCTTAGAAACTTCTCGCCCCGCTGTTGAGGTGCAGGTTAATTGCTGGTCTAGACACAGCTCCTTAGGTCAGAAGAAAGAGAGAACACCGAGTTCAAGTTCAACACTGCTGGACGGCGCGCAGAACACCATTATCTGTGTTAGAATTTAATCAGGGTATCACGGCTTTTTCAAAGTGTCATTGAGCCCGTCCTTCAGCAAACACCGGAGAGCTGTGTGGCATACCGCAGATACTGACGGCACCGCGGCTGGCTGCACTGCCTCCCTCGCACTGCTGGGCTCTTGAGCGTCTACTCGCGAGGTAAAAATGTTCCCCAGCGTTGCCCCTTGGGTGCTGGACGCCTTCCAGCTGGGAGCCACACTGAGCGTGTGACGGGCTGTGTTGCAGCAGGCACGTCTTGCAGATGTACACGGATTCCCCGACTGGCCTATCTTTAAGATCTGGGCACTTCAGGGCATTTTTTTTCTTGGCTCTTGGTTACTCTGTTTTGAGTCTTACCAGTCATTTTCTTCTTCAAAGTAACATATGGAACTGATTTGAGATCTGCTGCTCAAAGCAAACTCGTTCTGCACTGGGGGCCATTTCACACAAGTGTCTGCCCGCTGATGTGCAGCAAGACCAAAGCCAGCTTCCACACGTCATCTTCCAGGGCTCAGGGTGGTTTGTAGCCCACGGCACAGGTCGTGAGGGGCTTAGAGCAGGAAGCTCAAGGGCTATCTTTCAGACAGCATGTTTTTCGATCATATAAATTCCTTGCTCTGTTCCTTTATCACCTTTCATGTGGCAAAATTACAAACGTTAATACCAGACTTATTTACACTGTAACTCATGCAGAGGCTCAGACGACCTGGCAAACACTGGGTGCGTTGCTGGGCGCTGTGTGGCAAGTACCCTTTTTTCTCTCCTTGCATGCAGCTATACTGAAGTGTCATGCTGAAAGCTGTCACGTTTGTACAGTGAACTCCAGAATTTGGCCTGGAACCTAGAAGCCCTCAAATAGTCTATTGTTCAACAGGAATACATTTTTTTGTGTCTTTTGGCTCTTAATCTGTGGATCTTCCTATGAATCATGCTGCGTAGCCTCAGTGAGACGTGGTGTGCAGCAGCAATAGGTGGTTATTTTCTGTGCTGGTTAAAGCTTAAACAAAATACAAGAAGATATGCCCAAAGGACACAGCATGAACTCTGCCTCTGACATCGTCACGGTCCACAGCAAGCTCACAGGTTTTGCTTCCACTGACTTTCTGATTGCTGGTCGATGTCGATTTTAGGGCTGTCAGGGCTAACGGCGGCTTTTGTTGGTAGAAGAAACCTTTCTGCACCGGTAAGGCTTCTTCATTCCTCGCTCCCCCACCCCAAGGCAGTGCACAGGCAGCAGTCCCGCTGATCAAGACAGTGTCGTGTGTTGGGCGGTGCCTCTTTGGACCCTGCTTGTACAGTGGGGATGACGGATTTGCATGATTTAACGCGTAAAACTGGGG